CCGGCGTGAGTTTTAAGCCACTGGGTCCGGGACGCGAACCGTGGTCGACTACGTGGGAGTCCAGCGACATAGCCATTACGCTAACTGCTGGTCCCATGTATTTTTATAATTCTTGGTTAAAGCTAAAGTCATTTAAATTTATGCTTTATCTTAATTCTGTGTATTCATATATAGCTTTTTGTTTTGTTTTGATGCAGACCTTTCCTAGAGCCAAAGAAACACCTAGGTGAGTGATTGCTTTGCTTACATATTTGCTAACTGGGTTCCTGTTTTGCTAGATTTTAATACATGTTAGTTCTTTCTTGTTTATTTTCCTTGAGACTGTGGCATAAGACGTTTGAAAGTAGGTGTTATATATGCTAGCTGTAAAAACCAATGAAAGGGTCATTGAACTAACAAAGTAGAGACTTTGTTTTTAGCTTCGTCACTTCCTTCATGATGGACTCCAGGTTTTATGTTTGAAATAGATAAGGTCATGGTGGACTTGCCCTCATTTCCCATTATTACCAGTAGGATTTAATTTACCTGATGTTCATTGAACAGGCAGAGCATTATTGGACTCAGGATTTGGTGGGGAGGGATATACATATTAAAGATTTTGAGTGCCGAAAGTGTAAAGGAAGGGGTAAAATTCCATAAAATGACCATGGCAAGAGCACAGTAGCCATACTGGGAGTATGGTTCAGAGAAGGCACTGTGCAAGTTCATTGGAGGCACGATTTTTGTTAAGGTTTTTGCTATAGGATCTGTGTGCCCACCAGAGAGAAAGAGACAGAAATAGTGAGAGGGAAAAAGTGAGAAATCACCCCCTGGGAGCATGTCACATTGCAGTTCCTTCTTCTCCATTCCCCTCAGGATTTTGGGCACATACACACATGCCTAGTGATTTTAAAGCCACCATGTCCAGGACTCTAACCGCAGTTACCCATGTGGGAGTCGAGCGCTTTAACTACCACACCACCTGCTGGGCCGTGGAGGCAGGATTTGACCCTATGATTATTTCTCAGCTTTCTAGCAGATCATGTTCTGTGAGAACCAAGATGATTTATCCGATTCTTTGCAATCTGAGTCCTAATTTGCTGCCCTGGCTAGAATGTCAATATTAAATAATAGTGATAATAGCATACACCACCTTGTTCACAGCGTGAAGAAGAAAGCATTTAGTTGTTCACCATTAAGTGTGATGTCACCTGTGGGATTTTTTTCTGTGCCCTTTCTAATATTGAGAAAAAGATTTTATTTGTCATGTTTGAATTCAAATTGACTTAAAAATTTTTGCGTATTTTTTAATTGCTATAAAAATTGTACGTGTTTATTGTGTATAACATGTTTTTTTGTTTTGTCTATGAATTTCATGAGAAAGAAAAATAAAAGGCACCCTCAACAGAATGCAGTCCTCCCCAGCTTTGCAGTCTACCGCATCATGGGCACATGTGTGCCTAGCGTGTTCAGGCCATCCGGTGACCCAAACCAGCCATCTTTTGTACAGGTCTAGCACCACTGAGCAGCACAGCCCTACAGCATGAAGTTTTATCCGAGTCTCCATTGTGGAGTGGCTGTGTTAGGCTAATTAACATATCCACTCTTTCATATACTTGATCAGTTTTTTGTGAAAATTCATATTTTTTTGTGATCAGTATTCTGGGAAATGTTTTAAATGGGCACAGCATTTTACATTTTATTCTAGAAACTTGTTTGTTTGTTTTTTTTTTTCTTTTTTTTTGAGAGATTTTTGCTATAAGGCGCGTGCACTTGCCAGGCATACAGAGAGAGACAGAAAGACAGAAAGCGAGAAGTCACCCTCCAGAGGGGATGGCCACGCCGCAATTCCTTCTCCTCCATTCTCTTCTCGGGATCTTGGGCACGCACGCTCCTCCATCCTCTTCTCGGGATCTTGGGCACGCACGCACACGCGCCCGGCGTGAGTTTTAAGCCACCGGGTCCGGGACCTGAACCACAGTTGACTACATGGGAGTCCAGCGACATAGCCATTATGCTAACTGCTGGTCCCTCTAGAAACTTATTTTTAGACTTGAGACGTCTGGTTATTTCTTAAAGAATAGTTGGAGGCCAGAGGTGGCATGGTGATTAAGGTACTGACTCCCCCCTTGGGGGAATAGCCACACTGCAATCCCTTCTCTTCCAGTCTCCTCTTGGGATTTTGGGCACACACGTACATGTGCCCGGCGTGAGTTTCAAGCCATGGGGTCCAAGACTCAGACCATGATCAACTATGTGGGAGTCCAGAGCCTTAACCACCGAGCTACCTGTTGGCACCTAATTTTGTTCGTTTTAAAATTGTGCTAACGCTCTCATATGCTTGCACCAGGGAGGGGAAGAGAGAAGGAGAGAGAAAAAGTATCCCCCCAGTAGAATGTGGTCACACTGCAGTCCTTTCTCCTCCCTTTTCCTATCTTGTTGGAATTTTAGGCATGCAGGCACACATGCCTGGCACATTTTCAAGCTGCTGGGGCTGTGATTGAAACCACTTAGTCAGTTGTGTGGGAACTGGATCACAGGGCCAGCCCCCAGATCTACTCTTTTTTTTTTTTTTTTTGGGAGAGATTTTCACTATAGGGCACATGCACTCGCCAGACAGACAGAGAGAGACATAGAGACAGAAAGCGAGAAATCACCCCCCAGGGGGGATGGTCACGCTGCAATCCCTTCTCCATTCTCCTCTCAGGATCTTGGGCACGCACGCACACGCGCCCGGCATGAGTTTTAAGCCACCGGGACGCGAACCGCGGTCGACTACGTGGGAGTCCAGCGACAGCCATTACGCTAACTGCTGATTCCCCAGATCTACTCTTAATAGGAATCTGTATAAACATAGGCGCCTCAGCAGTCTTATTCTACCTTTCTACAGAAATGATAAATTTCTGTATCCATCTCACTGAAAAAATGAACTTTTTCATTAAAAGGAAGATGCTGGTGGGTGAGGGGTGAAAAGCTGTTAGATTGTCACCTGTAATGAAGTATAGTGTTTTATAACTAATACATTACATATCCTAGTATGACCCAGAGCTGGGAGACTCCACGGTCTCCCAATAACTTGTCCTCAGTTTTTCTATGTTTAAAGCCTTTGGAAATATTGATCATATTAGAAGTGTTGGGAGAGTCTACATCTGATTTTTTTTTTTTTTAAACATAGGCGGTCGTGTGATGGTCACAGATGCTGAAAGGTCAATACTGTCTCCAGGAGGAAGGTAAAACATAATTTCATTAATACTAACACTTCACCCCCCCCACAAAATTTTAGTTTTCAGATTATTGAGATATTAGAATATTAAAAAGGCCTTATGATAGATCTCTCAGTTTCACATGCAGTTAAATCACTTGGAGAATTTTTACTTTGGACTTAGTTCTGAACAGTAGTCTCTAGGTGAAACCCGACGTGACGTTTGGTCTGACGACCATACTGTGAATCAGAAAGCCTTGCCGTAAAGCGCAACTCGGAAGTTAATATGCCACTCTGTGGTTTTGTTACACTTTTCTCACAAAAGGCAGATTGGAGTTAAAGTGCTAAGTTCAGATGAGAGTTTATGAAAGCAGTCAGTTTGTTCTCAGCGCGGTCAGTGAGTGACTCGCTGTGCGCCGCGGTGCGTTCGCGTACTGTGCCCCCGCTCTCACCATGGTGTGGCTTGACCGGATTTCCTTCTTCTTTCAGTTGTGGGTCCATCAAAGTGAAAACTGAACCCACAGAAGATTCTGGTATGTACTGGGGCTTTCAGAATCAGTTATGAAATTAGGGTGCCTTTCCTTAGTTCAGAAGATTATTTTGACTCATTAATGACTGTATTGTTAGGATGAGAAATTACTGTATTGTTTGGGTGAGAAATTGCTACAGATTCATTCTATTTGTGACATCATTTGTTAATGTTATCATATTATATACTCGGAAACCCTAAAAGAGGTTTGCATAGTAAGTGATGGATGGCCAGAAGTTTGCTGCTAATTACATGTTTATGGATAAAATTTCATTTTTAGGCCTGTTGTTGTAAAATGTCAACCAATTCTGTATTGCTTTTTACAAGTATCAGTATAATATCCTCTCACATCTTTTTTTTTTTGAGAGGTTTTTGAGAGGTTTTTGCTATAGGGCGCGTGCGCTCACCAGAAAGACAAGAGAGACAGAGACACAGAAAGCGAGAAATCACTCCCTGGGGCGGATGGCTACGCCACAATCCCTCCTCCTCACGCCTGGCGTGCGTTTAAGCCACCGGATCTGGGACTTGAACTGTGATAGACTACATGGGAGTCCAGTGATAGCCATTACCAACTTCTGGTCCCAATACCCTCTCACATCTTTTCCCTTTGTATACTCATGTTTCACTCTCCAAGGAAACAATTTTCAATACTAAGCTATTTTTTGGTATAGAATTCTTTATTTTTAAATATCATAGTTACACTGTTATTACATATAGGTTTTTGGGGGGACAGATTGAGATGGAATTTATATACCCCCAAATTGACCTGAATATTCTAAGTATAAAATTAAAAGATGTTTAATACATTTATAGAGTTTTGTGATGATAACCATAATCTTACTGTGTTTTGAAAATTTACTATAGGGTGTATGTGCTTGCCAGAGAGTGAGAGAGAAAATGAGAAAGTACCCTCTAGGGGAGACAGCCACATGTAGTCCCTTCTCCACTTTCTCTGGATCGTGCATGTGCTCGTGCCAGCACCTAGCTTGCAGGGCTCAAACTTCAGAGACTAAGGGCGGATTGGACAGAGGGGTAACAGTGTTAAAGTCTAGCCCAGGCTTAACCCCCTCGGTTACTCAGCATTTGCACACACCCTTCTCCACATAGAGCTGCACGTCCCTAATACAGCACAGTGATTCCTGTCGAACAGGATCTGGCCTAACTTCCCACAGAGAATTCCACTTTTGGCCCTCTCATCAGAACGAAGGGACCTGATGATCCAACAGTCATCATGTTCATCTCTGGGAGTTTGATTTATTATCTAGTTGCGGACTTTCTTTTTTTCTTTTTTAAAGATTTTTGCCATAGGCACATGTGGGAGAGAGAGAGAGAAAGTGAGAAATTACCCTTTTATGGGAGATGGCTATGCTGCAGTCCCTTCTCCTTCAATCTTCTCTTTGATTTTTGGACATACATGCACATGTGCCCAGCATGTTCTCAAGTTGCCAGGCCCCGGACTTGAACCGCGTAATCAGTCATGTGAGATCTAGCACCTTAACTACCACACCACCTGTTGGCCCATCATGAGCTACATAATTACTCCTCAAGTACTAAACTATTTGAATATTATCTAAAGTTGTTACTGGTAAAGAAACCCGTAGGGGCTGGCGGGTGAAGTGGTCATTAAAGGCACTGGATTCCCACATGGCTGACCATGGCTTGAGTCCTGGACATGACAGCTTGCTTTCACGCTTTCCCTTTCTCTCTCTGTCTCTTTCTCATCAAAGTCCTGCCACTGGTGGCCTCAAAATCATGCCAGGTGCATGTGCTTACATGCCCAAGTTTCCAGGAGGAGAATGGAGGAGAAGAGATTGTGTTATGGCCATCTCCCCAGGGGGTGATTTCTCACATTCCCTCACTGTCCGTCTGTCTCCAGCGAGTACACGTACCCTATGGTAAAAACCTTTTTAAAAAATAAAAAGAATGCACAAGTGAAGAGACAGTATGTACAAACTTATAATATTTATACAAACACAACCATGAACGAGCAAGAACTGAAATAAGCCTAACTAGTAGAGTCCATATTTCTGCAACTCGTTCACAAAATGTTTGCATTTTCCTTAGTTCACTACACATAATGCTGTGTTTACTTTGCTTTCAGCCAGAACCTTTGTTAGGTACAGTTCTTTACCTGTGGCTCAAACTTTCATTCCTGAAACATCTGAATCCCTAATACAGCTTTTTTGTTTGCTTTGATTTTCTATTATTTTTTTACAATTTATTTATTTTTATTTTAAGGTTTTCTATAGAGCACATGGGCTCACCAGAGAGAAACAGAGAATGAGAGTGAGGGAAAGTGAGAAAGCAAGCCACCAGGTCTGGGACTCAAACCATAGTCGGCCATGTGGAAGTCCAGTGCCTTAACCACCATGCCTCCCTGCTAGCCCCAATTTTTCACTAATTTTTACTGAGAGATATGGAAGGTCTAAGAGGCAACTCGCAGAATCCCTTGGGTTTCAGAGATAGTGTTGTCTGCCACAAAACAATTTCCCCTTGGTAATTGCCAGCATTTTATCCCCAGAGCAATTGTTGCTTCAGGGATAAGCATCCTTTTATGTATCTAGGTAGTACTTTTTGAGCTATTTCTTTGGTTGACAGTGTTCTCTACAGATCTTCTCAAGTCAGATAGCACTAGTTCACTATTGAGTTCTTCATAGGATTGGTATGTTTATGACTGTCTTGTGGTTGAACATACTCTGAAATGACTGTATATGTATTTATTCTTTTTTTTGAGAGAGAGAGATTTTTGCTATAGGGTGTGTGCACTTGTTGGAGAGACAGAAAGCAAGAAATCACCCCCCCCCGGGTGGGGGGAGGAGATGGCCATGCCGCAATCCCTTCTCCTCCATTCTCCTCTTGGAATCTTGGGCACGCATGCACACATGCCTGGCGTGAGGTTTAAGCTGCCGTGTCTGGGACTCAAATCGCAGTTGATTATGTGGGAGTCCAGCGACGTAACCATAATGCCATCTGCTGGTCTCTATTATTTATATTTAAGAAGAGCGTTTAGTCCATGAGTGGGAGAGACAGAGATACAGCCTCCCTGACAGGATCCTGGTGCTGCCATTCACCCCTCACCTCAGCCTGCCCAGATCATGGGCACTTGCACGCCTGGTGTATTCAGGAAGGTCTCCAGTTGCGAACCAACAACCTGCCTATGTGGGTCTGGCTCACAGAGGATTGTGCTTTCCGACTGTACTGTCTGGCTCTTTTGTTCATTTCTTTTTTTTTTTTTTTGGAGAGGATTTTTTTTTTTTTTTTTCGCTATAGGGCACGTACGCTCGCCAGACAGACAGAGAGGGACATAGAGACAGAAAGTGAGAAATCACCCCCCAGGGGGGATGGTCACGCCGCAATCCCTTCTCCTCCATTCTCCTCTCGGGATCTTGGGCACATACGCACACGCGCCCGGCGTGAGTTTTAAGCCACCGAGTCCGGGACGCGAACCGCGGTCGACTACGTGGGAGTCCAGCGACATAGCCATTACGCTAACTGCTGGTTCCCTTTTGTTCATTTCTTAAACTTGTCTGAGAATAATCTATTCTTGGAATGAAGGAAGAAAGAGATTTAGGACTTGCGGACAAAAAGTGACATTAATGAGCCCATGCTTCTGGACTGTGAACCGCCCACGTGCTTCTTAGAGTTGGCGATGCCCTTCATTCGGTGGGGTGGAAAGGCCAGAATGGGGTGACTTAGTTATTGCCCACACCTCAGGTCCTTTAGGCTCTGATAAATCCTGCTTCTCCTGAAGGTGAGTTTGTGAACAAGTGCAGAATGCTCTGGCTTATTTGACATTGGTTCCCTTTCTCAGTTGCCTGGAAGCACGAGGGGACTTTTCTCTGGTTATTTACTGTGAGAACCTGGTAGAGCTCAGGAGGGTAAAATTCTGAAAAGCATACTCCCCTTCTTCCCCCACCATGACTGGATCCCCTTAGAGTTGCTAACTCTCAGGCCAGTCCGTACCTAGGCTCCAGCAGTTCATCTGTTGCAGCTCCAGTTCAGGCGTTCCTACCCAGACCAGCACAGATTTCACTCTTCAGACTCTGCTCCTGTCTGTAAGCTCTCACCTCTAGTATTCACCTGTCTGTCTTTCCACGTGCGAGGGGCAGTGGTTTGCCCAGTGTCTATACCTCTTTCTTGGAGCCAAGAAGAGTTCTTGGTAATGTATTTCAATCTGTTCCGCTTTTTATTTACTGTTAGAATGGAGTGGCAGCTTCCTAGTTCATTACCTGCAGAACAGGAAAAGAGAAATCTCATGTAGTGAAATTGGCATATCATGTCTGAAAGCCCCTGTAGTCTAACCCTGTTAGGCTGCCCAGAAGAGATTATTTTTGAAGACTATAGGTCTTCTTTGTTTTTTAAACTTTTAACTAAAGTTAAAGAACAACATGTAAAATATAAGTATATAGTTCAATAAATAAAGATTAGGCACCTCCGTAACTTACAGTACCCACATGAAGATTTGGAATGTTATGGGAACCAGCAGTTAGCGCAATGGCTATGTTGCTGGACTCCCATGTAGTCGACCGCGGTTCGCGTCCTGGACCTGGTGGCTTAAAACTCACGCCGGGCGCGTGAGCGTGCGTGCCCAAGATCCCAAGAGGAGAATGGAGGAGAAGGGATTGCGGCGTGACCATCCCCCCTGGGGGGTGATTTCTCGCTTTCTGTCTCTATGTCTCTGTCTGTTTGGCGAGTGCACGCGCCCTATAGCGAAAACCTCTCCAAAAAAAAAAAAAAAAAAGATTTGGAATGTTAGTAATACTCTGGAGAGGCCCTCTCCTGTCTCCTCTCATTACCATCTTCCCAGAATCAATGACCTGCTTGATTTAAAAAAAAAGAAAGAAAATTTATTTATTTATTTATATATTTTGCCAATACCCCTGCCTTCGTGTAAATGGAAGTTTACAGTATGTAGTCTTCCGACTGCAGAGATATTCTTTAAATTACCTGTCCTGGTTGCAGGCAAAGCTTTATGTGGAAAGGTGTACTTTGTACCCCTCCAAGATACAATAAAATAATAAGGGGGACTGATTAAGAAAAAAATGTCATTATCAAAATGGTTAAATATTAAACTGCCTCTACTTTGGGATATTGAGTCATTAAAACTGATGTTTATAAGTGATTTTCAGTGGTTTGTAAAAACATTTTAAATGTTAAATCAAAATGAGATGTGATTATTATTTTTTATTATTATTCCAAAGTTGTTAGAGGCAAAAAAATAATAGCCACAAATAATTCCAGAATATTACCAGGGTTCACACTTCGGCTCGGTAGGAGTTACCTAGCAACCTTCTGTCCTTTCAAACTCTTGTAAATATTTATCCGTAACTCTGTATTATTATTATTACTTATTTATTAGAGATTTTTGCTGTAGGGTGGGTATGCTTGCTGGACAGACTGAGAGACAAAAAGTGAAAAATCACCTGCTGGGGGCATGGCCACACTGCAGTCCCTTTTCTATTCTGTAGGGATCCTGGGCACACACATGCATGTACACACGCCCAGCTTGAGGTTTAAGCCACTGGGTCTAGGACTCGAACCACGGTTGACTACATGGGAATCCTGCAACATAACCATTACATATTCTGCTGGTCCCATAACTTTATATTATTTTTTGAAGAGGTTTTTGCTATAGGGTGTGTACCCCCACAAGAAAGCCAGAGAGAGACAGAGAGACAGAAAGTGAGAAATCACCCCCCAGGGGGGATGGCCACGCTGCAATCTCCTCTCCTCCATCCTCTTAGGATCTTGGGCACGCACGCACACACGCCCGGCATGAGTTTAAGCCACCAGGTCTTGAACTGTGGTTGACTACATGGGAGTCCAGCGACATAGCCATTACGCTAACTGCTGGTCCCATAACTGTATTATTAAAGAAGAGGGGGATTTCCCCATAACCTTACTGAATGCTTTGACATGTAATTACATGATTTTATTTGCTCTTATAGGCATTTCTCTGGAAATGGCAGCTGTGACAGTAAAGGAAGAATCAGAAGATCCTGATTACTATCAGTATAACATTCAAGGTAACACTAATGTAATTTTCCTTCCCAAAAGTTATTGTGGTGGCTAACATTAAAATTTATCAGTTGGGACCGGCAGTTAGTGTAATGGCTATGTCACTGGACTCCCATGTAGTTGACCACGGTTCGAGTTTTGGACCCAGTGGCTTAAACTTAAGCCGGGTGCAAGTGCGTGCATGCCCAAGATCCTGAGAGGAGAATGGAGGAGAAGGGATTGTGGTGTGGCCATTCCCTCTGGGCGTGATTCCTCACTTTCTGTGTCTCTGTCTCTGTCTTTCTGGCAGGTACACGCACCCTTTAGCAAAAACCTCTCCAAAAGAAAAAAGAAAAAAAATTATCAATTATCTGAATTTCTTAAATATAATACTATTTTATTGATTGATAGTTATACTTGTAGTGCAACACTGGAATAAACTTTTTTTTCTGGAGAAGTTTTTGCCATAGGGCGCGTGCGCTCGCCAGACAGACGGAGACAGACAGAGAGATAGAAAGCGAGAAATCACCCCCCAGGGGGGATGGCCACACCTCAACCCCTTCTCCTCCATTCTCCTCTCGGGATCTTGGCCATGCAAGCACACGCGCCTGGCGTGAGTTTTTATTTTTTTGGAGAGGGTTTTGCTATAGCGCGCATGCGCTCGCCAGACAGAGAGAGACAGAGACAGAGAGACAGAAAGTGAGAAATCACCCCCCAGGGGGGATGGCCACGCCACAATCCCTTCTCCTCTGTTCTCCTTTCGGGATCTTGGGCACGCACGCACACGTGCTGGCATGAGTTTTAAGCCACCGGGTCTGGGATGCGAACCACGGTCAACTATGTGGGAGTCCAATGACATAGCCATTACGCTAACTGCTGGTCCCCAACATTTTTTTTAATGGAACAATAAAACGTACTTAATCTATAGGGTAAATGTAAAGGAAAATAGCCATTAATGTTCATAAAAGGATGAGCTCAGGCCACATGGCCTAGTAGTTCATGGAGGCACATCTTACATGGCCAGCTGTGTGGTTTGAACCCTAGCCCTAGCTGCTTGAAAAACACACTGTGTATGTGTATGCCTCAAATGGGATTACGGCGTGACCACGCCCATTCGGCAGCACTTTATTCCCCTCCTTCCTGCCCTCTATCATCTCTCCATGTCTCTGGTGAGTATACATGCTCCTCCAAAAAAACAAACAGTTTCTGGTGTTACTTGCAATGGTTGAAAAGAATTTTGAATCTTTAATAGCTCTATTTGTGCAATGAAAATAACTTCCCTAAGCATTATTATTATTATTATTATTATTATTATTTGAGAGATTTTTGCTACAGGGTGCGTGCACTCACCAGAAAGACAGAGAAACAGAAAGCAAGAAATCATCCCCAGGGGGATGGCCATGCTGCAATCCCTTCTCCTCCATTCTCCTCTCGGGATCTTGG